CGAGGGTGCGGTCTCCGGAGTCAGACTGAGGTTTAAATGCTCGCTCTGCCATTGCCCAACTGTGGAACTAGTTTGGCCAAATAAATGCGTTTCTGGAGATTAAAAAGGATATGCCTACCTTGAAACGTGTTGTAAAGGTTAAATAAGATATTATGTAAGTAATTAGCAAGGTGCCTAGCACAGAAAAACAATCGACCACTATTACTGTCGTTTCCCCCCATTTCAGTTGCTTTCCCTGTCTGCTTAGGGATTGCATCCAGTTCTCTTCCGTGGGGAGGGGGCAGGCTGGGTGGGCTGCCTCCCGGACGGCAGGTCTAGGGCAGGACATGCTGGGGAGGAGCTGAGTCTGGGTGCCGTTCTGAGCAGAGGCGGTGGGATGAGGGACAGGTGTGGTTCGGGACTAGCTGAAGACAAACGGTCTGGATCCAGGAAATGCAGGAATAGCGGAGGAGGTGAGGAGCAAGGCAGGCAGGTGTGGCAGTGGAGGGGATGGGAGGGTCCGCAAGGGGGAAGGTTGTTTCTCTGCCCTACCCAGTCTTGGCATCTCCTGATATCATGTGATTTCTCCCTCCAACAGTTCCACCCTGTTTTCACTGCTCGGGAACCCTCCCACCTCTGGATCTGACCTCAGCCTGGGTCCTGTTTGGGGCTGGGTGACTCCCACTTAGTACCAATAACTATGACGTCTGAATACATCTGTCACATCTTCCCAATATGTTTATCAAATGCAAAATGAAAGAACTCATCCCCGTAAAGACGGACACAAGTGACCTGTAATTTCTTTGGGGGTTTTTTATGTTAATTGGAATATCTCTGGGAAATTGCTAACGTCGTCCAAACGAGCCATGAACTATAAATGCCCTGAGATACTCTGTTTGAAAAGGGTCCTATGAGAAATGTATAAGGGCTCTAAGGATTATTGAAGGATTCTTTCTGTGCCTTAGAGACTTTTTTTAAATGGCTTTTCATTTAAATCTGAAGTTTGGATTGCTCCTCTGAATGTTAAATCCTCCATTCTTTCAAATGCGAAATGTCTGGTGCCCCGGCGGCCCCAGCCAGGGCACACTGAGTTACATGCACCTCCTGTCCTCTGCTCCCGAGCTTCTCGGCTCTCCCCAGGCCTTGTCGGTTTGTAGATGCACCTGTGTGCTCCATTTCCTGTGCTCCTGCAGTGCAAATCAATCCTAATGCCAGCTTGGCCTGGGTGTAAATAAGAATAAGAATAGGAGCTAATATTTGTGCTGATATAGTCACTGTATTAGCACATTGCATGAACTATGTCATTTAGTCCCCTGAACAATCCAATAGAGTAGATACTCTTTTTAACCCCATTTCAAAGATGAGAAAACTAGGAGAGGTCAAGAGACTTGCCACAGAACATAGAACTAGTAAATGATGAAGCCAGGATTTGAACTCAGGAGTGACTCCACAGCTTGGTCTCTCAACCATGCTACATCCCTGCCCGTGGGGTTAGCAAATACTAATAAGAATGAGGGTACCCAGTGTGTCCAAAGTTGTGACAACATGGGCACATACACATTCTTGCTGGAGTATAAATTGGTACAGACATTTGGAGGACAAATTGGTAGGTTCTGCCAAAAATTTCAATTTGCTTCATCTTTTCATCATTCCCGGGAATCTGTGACACAGGAACCCTTGCTTTGTAAACACAGAAGTACACGAGTGTTCCTCAGAGCATTGTTTATGGCGACAATTACATATCTGCCAATAACAGTGGTTTAAAAAAAAAAAAAAAGAGAGAACACCCATGCTATGGAATTCTTTGCCAATATCAAAAAGAATGGTGTGGCCCTGGCCAGTTTGGCTCAGCGGTTAGAGCGTTGGCCTGCGGTCCGGAGAGACCCGGGTTCGGTTCCCGCTAAGGGCATGTACCTCGGTTGCAGTTTGTCCCCGACCCTGATTGGTCATGCGGGTGGCAGCCACTCGATGTGTCCCTTCACGTCGATGTTTCTCTCTCTCTCTCCCTTCCTCTCTCTCCCTCCCACTCTATCTGTACAAAAAATGGAAAAGTATCCTCGGGTGAGGATGATAAAAAAAAAGAATGGTGTGGCTCTGTTTTTCAGAAATTGACTGATCATCCATCCATGGCACTTAGATACGGCCATGAACAAACCAGACTCTCTCCAATCCTGCAGGACTGAGGTTCTACCAGAGAATTTTGCTGCAGCAACAAAAATGTTTAATTTTTAAAATAAATTTCCCAGAAGGCTTATGCTTTCTTATTTCATTGGCGAACACAAACGATCGCAAACGAGGAACAATAAGCGGCTGATCCTGCAGATGGTGCAGAACCAGGAGCGAAACAAATCGCAGCAGCTGTTCCGGTGCCCACACGCGCGGACCCACCATCCTTGGAGCCTCCGCAGCTCTGAAGAAGCCAGACAGAATTTCATCACCACAAATAAACACACTAATGAAGGGTCCAAACAATTTTTGTTGAGTTATTCTGCAAAATCAAAATCAATATGTCATTAGTTAGGACTCAAAAACCGAGACTGAAATGCAATGCAAGGTGACTCTACAGGGCCTGCTAACTTGGTGGCCACCGTAACTCCACCCACGTTGATTTTTTTTTTTTTTTTTTTTGGTAAAGCATTTCTTCAAGGGCAAAACGATCGTCATCAGACAGCACCTCATTTCTTGGCTTTCTTTTTTATTGGTCTTGACCAGGCTTACCATAATTTGAACATCTTCAATACTTTAAAAATCAACAAAAGAAGAGCTATGATACTGTAGCTACTGACATGAAAAGTCCCTTGTAATGTAATGTTAAGGGAAAAAATGTAAAAATCATGGTGCCGAGTAAGATATTCAGTATGAAAGTTGCATCTAACGTATGCGCGCACACAGTTGCATATGTTAAAGGCCTGGCATGCTGCACACCAAACTGTAACATTCTGGAGAAGGAGGCAGAAGGCAGAGTAGCTGGATGCTAAAGCGGAAAGAGTTCAATATTTGCACTGTGTGCTTCTGTGATGCCGAATTTGTCTATAGTAAGCATGGCTTACTCTGGAATGAAAAAACCAAAAAAGTGTACCAGGAATTTTGAAATGATAATGGAAACTGTGGGGAGCCACCGAAGGGGTCAGGCAAGGAATGGGCAGGTCGGGTTTGCAGCAATGTGGAGGGTGGGTAGGGGGAAAGCGAGAAGGTACAGAAGACTAAGAGACCAGTGGGGAGACTGTGCAAGAGTTCTACAGACGTCAAGGCTGTGAACACAGTGGATCTGGGGACCTGACCCCTGCGGGGGGGGGGGAATGCTGGCGATGCCCTGCGTCTGGTTCAGGCAGCAAGTGGACGTGCCTCTAGCCCAGAGGGCCCGCTGGAGGGGGAGCGGGGCCCTGGGGTCAGATGAAGACTGCAGTGTGGGACATGGAGTATATGAGATCACTCTCGGAAACCCAGGTCATGGGAGACCCAGTGCGGGCATTCGGGAGAGAGGTCAGGTCTCGCACGTGACTTCATGATAAGCAGCAGCTTCTCTGTTACTCAAGAGATGTTTATTAGGAATGAACCAGGGAGATATTCTCAACAAATTCAAGTGTCTCTCATGAGAAGTGGAAACCTCTCCGTCAGGACTTAGAAATGCTCTCCCTGAAGACCTGTGGGGTGTCTATGCATCTAAAGATTCCTTCCTCTGATGGAAAGAGGGGACCCCCAGGGAAGCCTGAGCTCAGAAGGAGGCTGCAAGTTTCCCTGGGGTGGGAGGGGGCGCCTCTGTGGCTTGTCCCTGCAGCACCCGCCAAGCGGGACCTGGCCGATCTCCCTCCCTCTCAAAGGCCCGCCACCCACCCACTCCTTCCTGGCCTGCAGGCGAGGCGGTCCAGACCAGGCGGTCTTTTATAATCGTTGGGTCTGCTCCTGGAGACACCTCCGACCTCCTTCCAGTTTCCTCGGGGCTGTGGGATTTTCTGGGCAAGGTACCCAGCGCAGGAGCAATCCGCCAGTTCATCCCGAATATGTTCTAGGCACCCACAGCCGGCACGGCTCTGAGAACTGGGGCAGGACTAGGAGCATCCAAGCGCCTCTGCCCGCCGGGAACTCAGGGACACGTTCAGTCAGCAACATCGCTCTTCCTTCCCCAGCTGGGGACGTTCTGGATTTTTCTATGCATAATGGATGGTGGTGTCTGAGCACCGCTGAGCCCAGGCCAGGGGAGGGGGGCTAGATACAGGACCAGCTGAATGCACTCTGGGGAGCGTCCCCAGCCAGAGCCAAATTTGGACTGTGGAAGTATTAAGCCTTGAAAAGAGTATGATACCCCCTCTCTACCAGTGTGTAATTGAAAATAAGAACCCAAACAAACCTCAAAGTTTAGCAAGATCAGCAACGTTCTGATGTTTTTCCGCACCACAAAAACTTAATGCTTTCCTTCAAATGTTAACTGTCAAATTCTTCCTCAAAAATTATTTTAGGTCCCCAGACTCTAAGGGTGCTCTACACACTGTTCAAGGCAAACGAGAGCACAGTAACATGAGTGGCACAGGGCTGTGGGCCCCCAGCGTTGTCTGGCCTCCCAAGTAGTCTGATCCCCTGCGTGAGTCCAACAGCAGGAGAAGCCTCTGGGGTGACAATCGGGACCAGTTGTTGGCCGCAGTGCAGCCTGGGACAGGCCCTGTCAGTGTCTGTGCACAGAGCACAGTCTTCCCTCCAGGCTCGACACAACAGGGAAGTCCGGGTATCCAAGGCGGAGTCCAGGTCAGAGCCTGGCTCCAGTGGGGAAGGGTGGGCTGAGCTGGAAACCAGAGGTGTGGCTCAGTGGACCCACTGGTATCCAGCACGCACCAGGCACAATGGACACTCAACTCTACCTCCTGGGATCGCCGAGGCTCCACAGCTCACCCACCCTGGTGCCGGATGGCTCCCACACCTGGGCAGGTGGAGCAAATGAGTGGGGTAGACAGTGTGGCCATGTCAAAGCCCTCTTGTTCCCATGAGCCAAGCTCTCCTCACTAAATATCTGTGGTCCTTTTTTGCAGAGCGATGAGGTCCTCACCGTCATCAAAGCCAAAGCTCAGTGGCCAGCCTGGCAGCCTCTCAACGTGTAAGTAACAAACAGACCCTGGCTCTGCCCTGCCCCTGTCCTAGCCCCACACCTGGAGCCACTGCATGCCAGCTGGGTCGCTGAAGTCAGCAATGCCTCTTAGATGGACAAACGGGTGAGGTGCACCGCCCATGGGTGGATATCACAGGTGCCCCTATCTTCTCAGGAATGCAGGCTTGGTCTCTGTTTCCCCTCAATGGCTCTAACACTGCAGAGGACCCGACTCAGAATGAGGATGAACCAGTGTGTATTCACTTATGTTCTCAGCCACGAATGCAGTGGCCCTTTAAGCACAGGTGTACTCACTCTAAGCAAATCTGCCTGGAAAGCCAGGTTTACCCCAAGTTCCTTTCTCAGTCCCCACCTTGTCTATCTACTCTGTCTCTTGGAGATTTCATCCTTCTGTGCATTTTGGTGACTAGGGGGACGCTGATGGCTCCCAAAACTGCCACTCCCCCAGGTAGGTAAGTAGGTAGGTAGATAAATCCATCCGTCCAATTCTTGGACACCTCTCTGTGGATGGCCCACATGGACTCACCATATCTAAAATGCACCCATCACTAAGTCCTACCGGTTCTTCCTTCTTAGTATCTCACAGATCAGTCCTCACCTGGCCATTCTCCCACCACTAGTTCAAGCCACCATCTTTTGTCATCTAGACTACTTCCATTCTTCCCTCTTCTATGGCCTCCCCTTCTGATCCCTCACCAACACTGTTACCAGAGTGATCTTTTAAGATTCCAAATCAGCCATGGATGGTTTGGCCCAGTGGTTAAAGCGACAGCCCTCGGACCAAAGAGTCGCAGGTTCGATTTCAGTCAAGAGCATGTACCTCAGTTGCGGTTCCTCCCCGGCCCTGGTCTGGTCGTGCGGGAGGCAACCAGTCGATGTGGCTCTATCACGTCGATGCTTCTCTCTGTCATCTCTCTCTCTCTTTCTCCCTCCCTCCTTCCCACTCTACCTGATGATGAAGAAAAATATCCTCGGTGAGGAATAAAATTAAATTAAAAAAAAAAAAAAAAAAAAGAATCCAAATCCGGTTCCCTGCCTTGGAACCCTTCCATGACCTCCGGGACCAGTCTGCACCCCCCGGTTCAGCTGTGCGGACACAGTGAGCACCACGCCTCAGCCCCGCCTCCTCTGGCTCGGGCTCCTGTCTCACTGCCCCCCACGCTGCAGCTCACTGCAGCCACCCTGACTCCCATGAAGCTCCATGAACAAACCTTGATTTCATTTCTCCTTTATGGATGCGAGGCCTGGAGCAAAGTCCCCCGTCGGTCACAAAAAATGGTTGATGAAGAATGGCCTGGCTCGCCCTTCTGCGGAGCAGTCTGCTTCCGCTAACGGTGACATTGATGAAGATGGCAGCAACGTGGGCAAGGTGTGAGGTACTCAGTGGGAGAACAGGCACATTCAAAATGGTAGGAAGGCAAGTACAAGCGAGACTCCACAGGACGGGGCCGCAGGAGCTGAGGGAGGAGGAGCACTCACACAGGACCAGCTGGTGGCAGGGAAGCTGTTGCCAGGTGCCTGCTGCCCCCTGTTTAGCCATTCAGGAGATTAACGACTCATCCCTGACTACATGCCAGCCCTGTCCGCCATGCCCACCCTTCGGAATGCCCAGCCGAGAGGGAGACCGACAGCAGAGAGCTCTCCCGCTGGGGGTCTGCTCCGCACGGGTCCCAGCGGCACCGCATGTACACAGCAGGCACACTCTAATGTCACTGTGGTAGCCCTGTGCTCTCCCGTGGGATGTGTCATGATGAGGACATGGGCGGCCCAGAGAAGGGGCACAACCCAGCCTAGGCTGGAGAGAGGTCATGAAGTCTTTGGGTCGGAGACGCCATGAGGCTGTCTGGTCGGATGCTCCTTGCCCTGGAGGGCCCAGGTCTGGTGGGACGGAGGCCCTGAGTGGGGGCCTGAGGAGAGCGAGAGGACAAGGACAGCTGACCAGGGCAGCCCAGCCGGCGGCCGGGAGGCCTTTTCTGGTCTGCTGTGATCTCCAAGCCTGGCTCTGGGTGTCCTCTGAGGAAGATGAGACCAGAGTAAGTTAGCCCTCAAACAACACAGGAGTCAGGTGCGCCAACCCCTCCCACAGAAGAAAATCCATGTCTAATTTTTGATTCCCCCAAAACTTAACTACAAATAGCCTACTGCTGACCAGAATTCCTACCAGTAACATAAACAATTAACACATAGTTGTTTGCTTTATGTATTCCCTCCAAGAAGCAATAGGGCAGGACCTGCTGCCCAAGGCTCTCTCCTGGTGAGCGGGCATTTGCTGTCTCATGCCCGTCCCACCAGAAAACATTGATATGAAGTCACAAAGGCCCTCAGCCCCCTTTGCATGATCAATATCAACCAGAAAAAAGGTCCACTCTGAATCCTGTTTGCTCAGGCTCTCTCCTCCCTGCTCCCAGGCTCCCAGATCCCCAGGCCCCTAGGCTCCCGGGTTCCCAGGCCCCCAGGCCCCCAGGCCCCCAGGCTTCCAGGCCCCCAGGACTCCAGGACCCCAGGCTCCCAGGCCCCCAGGCCCCCAGGCCCCCAGGCTCCCAGGCCCCCAGGTTCCCAGGCCCCCAGGCCCCCAGGCTCCCAGGCTCCCAGGCTCCCAGGCCCCCAGGACCCCAGGACCCCAGGCCCCCAGGCTCCCAGACCCCCAGGTCCCCAGGCCCCCAGGCCCCCAGGACCCCAGGCTCCCAGGCCCCCAGGACCCATTTGGGAAGAGTTCCTCACCTCTCGTTCTCTGAACAGGCAGGGACTCAAGGCCTGGCAGGTGTTGGGGACATATGGCCACAGAGTTTGTGGATGTCAATTTTCACACCACTAAGAAAACCTGACACCATTTTCCTTTCAGGAGTCCGGGTTTAGAAAGATGTAAACTATAAAGCAAAGTGCTTCAGGAAAGAAGAAAGGAAAGGAAGAAAGCAGAGAGAAATCCTTCTCTCTTGAGCCCCTGCTACTGACCAGATACTCTACTGGGCACTTACGTTCCTTATCCCACTTAATCCTCGTACTAATCCCATAATAAACCCATAGGAATTATGATTCTCACTTGACCGATGATGGGACTGAGGCTCGGAGGTTGTATGATAGGTCCAACCTTAGCATCCAGCTCCGTCAGTGAAGGAACTAGATTCAAACAGAATCCAGCTGACTCCAGGGCCTATGCTCTTCACTACAGCAAGGTTCTTTCAATTAAGTACCCATTCATTACCCCCTTTTTTTTTTTTTTTTTTTTTGGTGCATGCCCCTAGCGGGAACCAAACCCAGGACTCTGGTCCGCAGGCTAACACTCCAACCGCTGAGCCAAACTGGCCAGGGCTACCCATTTTTTTTTTTTTTTTTTTTTTTTTATCCTCACCCGAGAACATTCCTCCATTTTTTGTTCAGATAGAGTGGGAGAAAGAAAGAGGAAGAGAGAGAGAGAAACATCGACATGAAAGGGACACATCGAGTGGCTGCCACCTGCATGACCAACCAGGGCCGGGGACAAACTGCAACCGTGGTACATGCCCTTAGTGGGAACTGAACCCGGGTCTCTCTGGACGGCAGGCCGATGCTCTAACCGCTGAGCCAAACTGGCCAGGGCGGGGTACCCATTCTTTAATCAGGCGAAACATATATGTCAGTTGGACTTCTGATCCGCATGAAATTAGCAGTGTGACCACTAAGTTGTCTGATTCCCACCAAAAACAAAAAAAACAGATTCTTAATTTTCATTTACCCTGTGTCCTCTCAAGAATGACTGAGCCTGGCTGGTATCACTCAGTTGGCTGAGCATCATCCCATGCACCAGGAGGTCACGGTTTGACTCCCAGTCAGGGCACATGCTCAGATTTCAGGTTCAATCCCCAGTAGGGGGTGTGCAAGAGGCAGCCCATCGATGCATTGCTGTTTCTATCTCTCCTGCTCTCTTCCTCTCTCTAAAATCAATTAAAAATATTTTTTTTAAAAAAGAATGACTGAAACATTTAATCACCTCAACAAACATTTATTGGCGGTCTCCAAAGGAAAATACTGTGAAAGGTCGTTGGAGACACAGTGGTGAGCAGAGCAGAGCTTCTCATGAAGCTACAGTTTAATGGGGGAGAAACATTAACCAAATAGTGACACATGTGACATGTCAATGAAATGAAGGCATGAACCGCCATTGAGAGTATGTGATTGGGACCCCAACACAACCCAGGAGTTAAGGAATCAACAGGAGTTAACTAGGTGAAGAAGCAAAGCAAGGGGAGAACATTCTAGAAAGTCCAGAGAGACCATTATGTGCAAAAGCCTTGAGAAGGAAACAGGACATAAAGTACTAACAGGTTATGGTACAACCATATCCAGAAATCAAAGCTGAGCTGGGTGTGGGGCCGACCCATGCAACATTAGGGATCTTCGTTTTTACATTATGAGTAATGGGAAATTATTGAAGGGTTTTTTGTGGTTCGTTGTTGGTGCTGTTAATCCTCACCTGAGGATATTTTTCCATTGATTAATTTTTAGATAGAGTGGAAGGGAGGGGGGAGAGAGAGAGAGAGAGAGAGAGAGAGAGAGAGAAACATCAATGTGAGAGAGACACATTGATTGGTTACCTCTCACACAACTCAGACTGGGGCCAGGAATTGAACCTGCAACCCAAGTACGTGCCCTTGACCAAGAATGGAACCTGCCACCTTTTGGTCCTCCGGCCGACACTCTAACCACTGAGCCAGAGTTTACTGGGGAATTTTAAGTGGAATGACAACATGATCAGACTTAGATGAAAACAACAACACTCTGGCTCCAGTATGAAAAGGATAAGAGCAGATGAGGTGAGACCAGAGCAGAGGTCCAGGGAGAATTAATAGCAACTCTGACCAGGATGGTGGTGGTGGAGACACAGAGGCGCAGAGGTCTGAGAGATGTGTAGGAGTGAAAACCCACAGGCTGTGGTGATAGGTTGAGTAAGGAAGATGCAAGAGGCCGAGAGGTCACAATGCAGAATTAATGAGTTGGTGGGCCCTCTCAGA